ATTGGAGTGGCTTGCATTGTATTTTCAGTTTAGCATAATACAAATGTATGACATTCTCAAAAATGTAATTCCCCTTTAACTGAAACATTTTCCAGAAAGAAAATTATTTTTTGGCTATGATTTCTTTATATCTAGTCATATAATCAATAGTTTTAAAAGTGTGATAACTTTTTGTGGAATAAATATAGTAATATCAAGTTAGCGAGAATGATTCCAAATCAGTCACTTTTACTCATTTCTGTATTCTCAAAAGGTATGTACTCATTTTAGTTATATAAAATTAACTAAATTTCAATGGGTAAAATTCAGTAACTTTGCAATGACAACAACTGTCATGATATCTAATTTCTTAAAACCATTTTTTAATGTTTGTCAGTTTGAAAAATTCAAATATAATAATATAGTCCTATTGTTACTTAAAATGCATTGAATTCTGGCATTGTTCTCCATATGGAATACACAGATTTTTTCATATCCTCTATTCAAGTTTTATAAACTAAATTTTACCCCAAGAGAATACACCTTGAGAATATTTAGCCTGCTTCCAATTGCTCTAGAACAACAATGGCAGTATCTTAAATTCTCTCATTGTGTAGAAATGGCCTTAGGGATGCTTTACAATCAGTTTACTTCAAAGACTGCTGGGTCAAGAGGACAGGGGAAAAGAACAAGATCACTAGCCAGGGCTTTCCATCTATCATGGTGGGACCACTGGAGCCAGAAGCTCTAAATAATCCTTAAAAATTCAGAGACTTGTTCCCTTGAGAAGGACACATTTCTTATGGCCAGCTTTTCTAAGTCAGGAGCTAATAATACCCACAACCTACTTGCCTTTTGCAGATATGTGTGACACAAAGTATGGATAATTTCTGCTGAATTGAACCCGTAATGAAGGAATTTATAATCACTTCTAATGTATTTTGAGACCCAAAGTATATTAGCCTTTCATCAAAGGGAATGATAAAAAGCAGCATTAATATGGGTGGATAGTAATTATTTCAGAGCTCATAATTATTCTCCTGTTAACTACAGAGAAATGCTGATATTTTTACTCCTTTTTTAAAAAAATAAAAGGCTCTGGTCGGATTCTGAAATGTAAGAATGCATTGCACGTCCTTTACAAGAACTCGTGCTTGGAATTATGCTCATGTTAATCGAAAAGGAACTATTTTTGAATTAAATGAGTTCAAAGTTCATGGTTAGGAGTTCCCTTTACCTTGCTTAGTCCTGTTGTTTCACCACTGAATTTATTTATTGCCCATAGGAGATATAAAGTATAGTAATTACTATCACTCCCTTTCAAAATGACAGGAGGTCTACTTTCCTATTAACTCTAATGAGAGTTATGTGTATGTTCCTCAGGGAGGACAGACCCAATAGAGTTTCAAGGTAGAATAAATCACTTCTACACACTGGTTTTAGTGGTCTCATTTGCTTTATATTTTGGTGCTTTGAGATATCCATTTAAACTGCTTGTATTGAAAATGCAGTATTTGTTGTTTAAAAGAAACATAAGCTGTGGTTAGAATGTTGTTAATAACTGTTATTTCTATTTGGAGGATGAATGTATGTTACCCTTTGAGGAAATGATGTTGCTCAATTTACAGGAATACACATAGGAAATGTGTAAAATGTGACTGCCTACTTTTCATAAAAAAATAATGCCAATTACCTTTTACAATATTTTCTTTCTATTTAAAATGTTTTAACATCAGTGATTACATCAGTTGTAACAGTTTAGAACAAAGGGAAAATGAGCCAGACAGCCGGATGCCCTAGGCAAGAAGGGAGCTCTAGGCAGAGGCGGTGTTTTGTTTCCCGCACGGGAAGAGGGAATCTTGAGATCATGTAGGGATCTGTTGGTAATCCACAAGCATATGTTTACCCCACTGAGGCTTGAGAAGCCGGTGTGGAGTTTCTCCGTTTGCAGCCCTGAACTCTGTAGATATTTATTCTCAGTGCCTTTAGGCATAGAGATAAAGGAAATCTGTTTTCATTCTTCTTATAATCAGTTTTGCCCAAAACTGTTACCAACCCTCTTCTTCCTAGGGCACCTTCTGAAATAAGATATGTAAAAAATTATTCAGGTTAAGAACACCCAGATGTACTGAAATCACTAAAATACTGATGTAATTCGTACTATAGGAAAACTTACTATCATCTAATAATAACATTTTATTTAGTATCAATAAATGAAGTGTATTGTGAGAACTGGACTTAATCCTCCTCCAGGATAATCACATCCCCATGATATTGAAGCAATATTTGTATTTGTTTCGAATTCTTCAGTTTTATTACAATAAAAGATGTCCTATACAAAGTATACATGCAATTATTATCTCACATCAGGTAAGAGACACACAGTTTCCTAAGTAAGGAAGGTAAAAATAACTAATGTAGCAAACAAACAAAATCAAACTAACAGACAAAAAAACTGATCCATCAACCATGTATCCACGGAAAAACTCTCTCTGTATATACTGTCCATGACTTCTCTACATATGCCCTCAAATAGCAACTGAGAACCTTGTCCCACATGCAAAGAAGTGGAAGATGATATTTTGACAACAATTCTCTTACTGTTGCAACTCATGTAGGCCCAAGAGCTAGCCAGTTCTAAATGCATGTAAAGTATATGGAAAGCACTGGCTCCATGGCTATATAAGCTGAATGAGTCCCCATAGAAATCATGTAAATTAACTTGGGTACCCTAGGAGGGGAAAGAAAGACAATTCCACCTGACATATTCAAGAGAGAGATCTTATAGAGTCCCGAACAAAATGAAGTGATTTAATTGTGATAGGTTTTACACATGCCTCCAAATATTAGCAAACTAATGATTCAGGAAAAAAATTTTGAGCTCACATTAATGATTTCTTAATATAGCCCAAAATTAAGCAAATTAAGTAATTTAACTAAAATTGGAAAGTAGATAGTGGTTTTGGCAGCAATAAATGCCACTGCATTTAAATTGTGTTGCTAACCAGTAAATAAAATCATAATTTCTACACAGCAGTCTAGAAAATAGAAATGTGAAAAATACATATATTTTTGCAGTCTTTAGGAAATTACAGAAAAATTAAAAGCTTGAAAATATAATTTTTTAAGTCTAATATTTTGAGGGATGCTTTGAAATTGGAAATATTTTAAATATAATATTCTGATTCGGCAATTTTAAAATTTAAATTAAAAAATGTATAGTTTTCAGAAATGTAACTATGTTGTTGCATGAATGTCAAACAATCCTAAGAGTGCCTTTTGCATTTAAATAGGGTCATGTTAAAGAAATGCAGATTTCTGTGAACTTGCAACCGAGTGTCAATTAATGTAAATTATTGCTTTATCTAGGTTTTCTGTTAATGGAATAATTGCTTGCAGGTGTGTTTATAAAAGTATATCACTTAATTTATTGTTTACCGTTTCCCTGTCTGCATTTGAAATGACCTTGAAACCATGACCTTTCCATAGAGTAGTCAATGTGACCACTTCCCTTCAATTACTTCATCCATTTCTGCCTTTCCAATCTTCTGATCTTTGACCAGTTATTACTATTTTTCAAGGCAGTCTCCCTGAGCTGATGAAACATAACTGTATTATATCTTATTTTTTCCCTTCTGGTTTCTGGGATTGTGTTTTTCATTCTTTGGGAGTTATATAGTAAATTTAGTTTTGGAATTATAATGAATAATGATCTCGGAAAAGACTTAGAAATTTTTCTAAAAATGTTTGACAGTCCTTCCCTATGAAGTGTGCTTAGGCTTATGCCTGCTTCTTTGCTATTTATGTTATTGAAATCAGTACATGACTTTCAGTCCCCTTTTCCCTCTTTTTTCTATGACTGTTATTTTATGCATGACAAAATTCTCTTGCTTACTGCTATGTGATTGGCTGTCTTTTAACTTGAGTGTCCTGTGTTTGTAGTGACTGCTTTTTGCATGAGGATTATTAAATGTCATTCAAATTAAATGGTTGTGGAACCAAAAAAAGAACGTGGGACTTCACTTGCTTTTTTGTGTGCTGAGTATGTCAATTATGTGACACTTAAAATTACTTTCATATGCCCTTTGACGTCCCCTTTGGTATGCTCCTTTATTCTTGCAAATTAGCATTGTTAAGTATAATAAAACACTTATTAAACATTCACAGTGTTTTAATACAATTATTCTCCTCAAACATGATCCTATTATAAATAACTATACTGAGCAGGAAACTGCACTAAGGCATAATTCCATTATATTACTAAATTGATTATGAAATATAAACCGTGACTTGGTAACTAGCTTAATAGCTAAACACCAACTTCTACTGATCGAACCTTTGCTCTGCGGAGTGATGAGACTATCTAGTGATACATTTGTGCAGGTTGCAAATGTCTTAAATCCACAAGTAATATTTAAATGAAAACACATGGGGAAATATTTGTGTAATGACAAGTAATTTTAAAAAGTCACAGTTTTGAAAAATTATGGATTAAAAATATGTAAAAACCAAATGTTCATGTTCTTAAAAAAAAAAGAAGAAAATAGAAAAAGAACAACTTAAAATATTCATATCTCTGTCTTCTCTAAGGTTATTATATTGTCTCAAATTTAAGAATGAATTTGACCTACTTTTTTTTTAATGTTGTCACCAATTTAAATTAGAAAAGACACTGAATAAATTAAGAATAAAATAAAGCTAATAAAACTTTACCTTTTTGTAGGCAATGATTATTTTTTTTAATAAAAACATTTTCTTTGCTCATGACTTGAGTTTCAAGCCATAATGTATTTTTTATACTGGATATATTTACAACCCAAATCTTCTATGAGATATTTTGGGGAAAGGGATTTTTTTTTTCATAAATGAAAATAGGTAATCAATTATGATGTGACCACTTCCCCACTCTTTTTGGAAATATCCTTGAGAATTTTAGTATTTATATTTATTTTTTCCCCTCAGTCTTGTTTATTCTTGAATTGTCTTTTTTTTTCCCTCCATTTCTCCGTTCTCAATCCTAGGTCCCCTTACAAAGAAACAGACAGATGATTTAGGTGATAATGACGGTGCTGAAGATGAAGGTATTTTTTTTCACCAAATCTATTTGCATGACAAGGGCCTCAATCACTTTTTCCACCCCTTTCTATTTTTTTAACTTCTTGTCTTTTTTTGAAGAGTTGTTTTTAATTCCCATTTTTGATGTGTTTTGTCTTCTTGCTTGTTGTTACATACAAATATAGAGTATTAATTTTTTTAAAAAACTGAATGTTAAGTTTTACATTTTGATACCAACCATTGAAATGTTTTAAAAAGAGGGGCATTTTTTTTTTTGTTTTCTTGAACTGACTTTTGATATGTTCCATCCCACATTTTGACTGAATTTTGTCCACCTTCTTTGAACTAACAGTCTCTCCCTTGTAGTCTCTCTGTGCCCATTTTGCATGTTTTCTAATCTATGTAAATATTTTCCTGAATATTAAAATGTGTTTCATTTTTACATTCGATATTTGTTTTAAAAAAACACAGACACCCAATAAACTGAAGGACAAGCTGAAAGCTAATATAAAGTGTTTCTTGAGCAATATATTTTAGATGAAAAAATACTGTTTTCTGTTGATTTGCTTAAATGTCGCATGAATACAATTAAGTTGTATACATAAGAACAGGCATTACAACTATTTAGAAAATTGTGGTAAACATTGTACAGCCATTTAAGTATTTTGGACTCATATAGTACTTTTGATAGAGTTTGTAGCTATTTTCTTAGACAAGATTCAATGAGTATTCTTTAATTTCAAAGAGACATAATTTCAAGATTGTCAAATAAAATATTCTGATTCTCAAACATTGCAACTATACGCAATACAATATTTTCTACTTCATTAATATCAAAATTGTTTCTCCTTACAACTTTCATTTGATATACAATTCTGATTTACTCTATAAACCTAAGAACTCACTACCTAGATTGGCTTGACATTTCTGATTTCACTGTACCTTTACATGTTATTAAAGTTAGCTCATCTTTTTTGGTTCCAATCAGGATTAAAGCTTATGTTTTTTGTTTGTTTACTTTGTTATGTTTTGTAATCCCAGGTTTCAAAGTAATTGCCAGAAATCTAGAAATTAAATCTCATAACGAAAATAATAATGTGGTAAGAAAAGTTTTCCAAAATAAAATAATCTACAGCCAGGCCAGCAGAAGTGTTTGTTCCATGAGTTGCAAGGGAACTATGGGTAAATAAATTTTTACTAAAATATTTGCATTGTTTTCATTGACATATATACATTTAATAAAGTCATTCACAACAGATAATTAAATTATAGAGGTGGAGTATTGAGAACTTAAAAATTATATTTGGTGTTAATATTTTTAAAATATGTAAGAATTGTTTTGATTAAATGAAACGTATGACATTTGATTAAATATTTATTTACCACGAACACCAGCAGTGGATTAAAGATTAAACACAAAGCAGTCATTAATATTTGAAATAAATCATTATCGCTGTCCAAGAGTTATTATTCTGAATGTTAAATAGCAAAAAATAAACTTATAGTCTGAAGATGCAAATTCTGATTTCTTTAAACACTATTTGAAATTTGATGTATTCCAACATTTAGGATATGTTTTGACATTGTAGAACATTAATCACTGTCTCCAAAGCTATAAGAAGACTACTTCCACTTTCAGGCTTTGGGACTTTTTGAACCCCTTGAAAACCCTTAACTCCTAGAATTTGTTATCTAAATAATACTGAAAGCATACGGGACTTCTTCATGTGTATCTTTGTAAAGGCCAAATTTTCCCAATTTAGGCAAAGGGTTAAAATACATTATTTTCATATTTTAAAAATATTTTGCTTATTTAATATGATTTTTTTTTTTCTTTCTGTTAAAACAGCATCAGGTGAGGAATTTACCTATTTAGAGTAGATAAGTCTGAGCAATCATAGCTAGGCCATGTAAACCTGAACCTATTTTATAGATATGTTTTGAAGCACATTTAACATTTTTAAATAGCCATTTAAAATATTCTCAAACCCTATTAAAATGTCAGGTAGTATTCAGGTTAAGTACTAAGCCATTCAGTCACAAGAGTTATCGAATCAATAAATATTTTTAAGTAATCAAAAGCGTAGAATGTCAAAGCAGTCAGTTCCAGTTCGGTCTCTTCCTCTGTGTTGTTTTGGATAATTGTTTTGAAACAAAAAAGATGAATTCAGATATCCTACAGGGGAAAAGAAACCTTTTATAGAAATGTCTGAGCATTTTAAACTCAATTCTTCTTCTTATTATTTTGTAGATGTGGCTGTGAATAAAAACTGTGCTCAATATCTACATTGAATTTGTTCCAAATGTTGACTCGACATCACTGGACATAAAGCAACAAATATGAAAGACTTGATAAGTAACTTCATTTACATCAGTCAGAAGTCAGGTCATCAGATGACTTACGTGAAATTCCCCATTACTTCCCAGTTCCCCTCTACCTCTTACGGGCTTGATTTCAGGTCCCAATCTCAGCCACTGAATAGTGAGGCCACCAAGCATATTGCTGGGGCTTGCTGCTCACTGACTTACCCTGATGGAAGGCTTCTTTATGGAGCATTATTTTTTACTTCTAATTCTTGTGTCCCTGCTATCACTCTTTTGCCACATTTTGTCAAACACAATTATATCATTTTTCATTTAAGTTTTATAACAACTAAAAGAATGGTTGTTATATCTTTTTTTGTTTTGTTTGTTTGTTTGTTTTCTTGACGAAGTTTCCTTCTGTCACCCAGACTGGAGGGCAGTTGCATGACCTTGGCTCTCTGCAACCACAGCCCCCTGGTTCAAGCAATTCTCCTGCCTCAGCCTCCCACGTAGCTGGGATTATAGGCGCCTGCCACCATGCCTGGCTAATTTTTATATTTTTAATAGAGACGTGGTTTCATCATGTTGGATAGGCTGGTCTCGAACTCCTGACTTCAGGTGATCCACCCACCTCAGCCTCCCAAAGTCCAGGGATTACAGGCGTGAGCCACCATGCCTGGCAGAATTGTGTATTTTTTTTTTTTTTTTTTTTTTTGAGACGGAGTCTGGCTCTGTCACCCAGGCTGGAGTGCAGTGGCCGGATCTCAGCTCACTGCAAGCTCCGCCTCCCGGGTTTACGCCATTCTCCTGCCTCAGCCTCCCGAGTAGCCGGGACTACAGGAGCCCGCCACCTCGCCCGGCTAGTTTTTTGTATTTTTTAGTAGAGACGGGGTTTCACCGGATTAGCCAGTTTGGTCTCGATCTCCTGACCTCGTGATCCGCCCGTCTCGGTCTCCCAAAGTGCTGGAATTACAGGCTTGAGCCACCGCGCCCGGTCCAGAATTGTGTATCTTTAAGATAATTCCATAGTTACAAACAAGACTAATCTGAAGTGACAAAAATGCTTCAAAGTAACATCCCAGATTTCTATCAACTTATTTTAAAAATTCAAGAAGTATTTTTTTTAAAAAAATTAATGGTGCTAATAGTATCTTCATATTAACATTTCAATATTTAGCCTGGGTGTGGTGGCTTACACCTGTAATGCCAGCACTTTGGGAGGCCAAGGTGGGCAGATCACTTTGAGGTCAGGAGTACAAGACAAGCCTGTCCAACATGGTGAAACCCCATCTCTATTAAAAATAAAAAAATTAGCCCAGCATGGTGGTGAGCACCTATAATCCCAGCTACTCAGGAGGCTGAGGCAGGAGAATCACTTGAACCTGGGAGGTGGAGATTGCAATGAGCCCAGATTGCACCACTGCACTCCAGCCTGGGCCATAGAGCGAGAGTCCGTAAAAAAAAAATAAAATAAAATAAAAATAAAATAAATGCAATTTTATATCCTGTATAGTTCCTTTTGTGACAATTTTTTGTAGATTTTGAATTTTTTAAACTAAAAAGATATGTTTAATTCTGTTATGTCCGGTTTAACAAGGAGAAATTCAGTCAACGCTTCTATGTTCATTCAGTGGTTCTGAATGATAACCTGAGGTTCGTAAAAATGACTGGAGGCACGAAAGTCTGCCTTGAAATTTTTTTTTATAATAGAGAAATATATAATTGAGGCAATACTTCACAATTTCAAAACTGTTAATCCTAAAAACTCTAAAATATGGGCAATTAAATACTTCATAAGTCCTTTAAGATGGAAAAAAAACCCAGTAAACATATTTAATGATTATATCACTAATAATTATACACTAGGATCATTAATGGAAATTGTGATTTCAAACCCTGGTTGCCAGGCACAAATAAATCCCCATTAACTGCTCTAGATCTATTGATACTTGCTACATTGGCTTAAAATTTGGGTCTATAAGAAAGACTAAATAGGTACTAAAATTTTAAATCAAGGTGTTTACTCAGACTCCAATTTTTTTTTAAACTGTTTATGTTTAGCAAGGCTTAAAACCATTGCAAATAACAGAAATTATAAACATGCCTGGCAAACATTTGTACTTTTACTGGAACTGAGTTAGTATTTTAAAATTTCTGAGAGGGTTCTTAGAAATTTTAGTAAAGTCAATAGATGCTGTTTAAGCAACGTAAAAAATCTTAAGTGAAAATTCATAGTTCACAAATTCTACCATATTTATAGGTGGTTAAATATGTAACGAGGTTTAAAGAGACAACTTGGTTCTAAAAAATTAATTATAAATTAATAAGCTGCATTTGATATATTTGCACAGAAGATGAATGCCCCCCTCAACATTATTATTAAAATGATGGAATTAGAAAATGGTATTCAATGGTAGTCTGTCTGATATATTAGTTTTATTTATAAAGAGTCTGGTTCTTCCTAAAAACAAATAAATACTTATAATTGAAGCTCTTTATATTTGCTATTTACATAAAAAAAAAAAAACTCTATAAACTAAGCATAAAAGTTAAGCCTAAGATAGAAATTTGTAAAATAAAACATTATATAAAGTAAAGCCTGGCCAGGCATGGTGGCTCACACCTGTAATCCCAATACTTTGGGAGGCCTAGGAGGGCGGATCACCTGAGCTCAGGAGTTCAAAACCAGCCTGGCCAACATGGTGAAACCCCATCTCTATTAAAAATGCAAAATTAGCCTGGCGTGTTGGCGGGCACCTGTAATCCCAGCTACTCAGGAGGATGAGACAGGAGAATAGCTTGAACACTGGAGGTGGAGGTTGCAGTGAGCTAAGGTCATACCACTGTACTCCAGCTTAGGTGACAAGATCGAAACTCCATCTCAAAAATAAAAACAAAATTTAAAAAGTCTAAGATGGACCACTCTGACAATGCACTATTAAAGGCTTCCAGTTTTTCTTGTAACAGAAAATGTCCAAAGTTTCTATGGTTTCTCAAACTTCGTTAGCAATATAAAGGTTTGTTATGTCCAAGAATTTTACCTATTTTAGTAAGTACTATAATTACTTTTGCACCAACCTAATAATACTTTTTATAACATAAATCTCAGGGTTACTTCAAATGAAAAATATGTTTTGGAACACAGCATAAGAATCCCAGAGAACTGTATTTAAAAGAACTGCTCAATATCTTAAGTTATTAGGCAAGGCTGAAATGTGAAAAGTTTGAAAAGGCAAATTCAAATTAAGATTAACCCAAACTATCAGTAATTCTTTCAAGTCAAATTTTCAAAGGAAAATAAAAAGATACCACTCAAAATAGCTCCTGGAATCTACTGTCATATTTTCAGTGTTTTCTGACAATGTCCACTTAATTCTGTTATTAAATATAAAACGTGGCAGTTCTTCTCAATGTGTGCCTGTATTGTTTTCCAGGTGAACAGAATGGTTCTACCAAGATTTCATTACTGTTCACAGTTGGTGCTTTGTAATTCTGTGTAATTTTAATTAAAGAAGAATTCTGAAACAGCCTCCCTCTGTGCTACCTCCAAGCATGCAATTAGCAGAGTACAGTGTCTGCTGTGAACAGTCAGTTAATGATTTCAGTTTAATAATTTATTATTGCTTCTTCAGTGCCAGCCACACTAGAAAAATAAGAAACTGAAACTGTATGTAGCAAACAGGCATTTAAGGTGCATGGTTTAACAATCTCAAAAGGATTACTTTCTCTGTGTAAGTCAGCCTAACATCTCCACAAGCCCCAAATCCTTATAAGTGAATGAGTACTACTTTTTTCTCCCAAGGTTTCAAGGAGAAAATAAATTTAGATTTTCCTCTTAAATGTGTCTGTGTTTAGTGAATGGTTCCTAGGTCAAAATATCCTTCCCTCACTACTTAAAAACAAGACATTCTTCTCAAATATACCTTTGGGGTATTAGAGGGGTATGAGTAACTTTATACACTGGTATTAAGTCAAATTTAAATAGTCTTTTAAAAAAGGTTGTAAGTTCTGCAATGAGCTATTTCCCCAATTCGAAAATCTGGTTAACCAAGCTGAACTGCAATTCTTGAACCTAAAATGATTCTTCATTTAAAGAAATCACTTTATTATTACACTAGAGAAATCAAGGCATTTACATTACACAATCTATTTTTTACAAAAAATGCAAAGCAATCTCTAAGTAATCACTAGTTCTTTCAATAAATTTGTATTCTATTAGTCCATTCTGAAAATTGGCACCTCGATTATAAGGATGTTGGAGAGTTAAATTTGATAAAAAATTTCAAAAACAAAGGAACAAAAACATACTGTTAAATTATACTTTTTAATATTGGCATAAAAAAGATAATACATTTGATGTAATTTGTTTCAATTGTGGGTATAAGAGATCATGGGCTATTATATAATAGTAATGTTTTATTTATGTATATATTCAGAGCCATATATATAGATACATATAATATTTCAAATATTTCAATCTGTATAATTCATAGATAAAACTATATTTGCTGATATACAGTTAGACTTCTCTACAGAAATCAGTACATTTTTCATATTGATTAAAATTATCTTATTTTATTTATATATTATTTCTAGATCCTCATTGAAAATTACATAATTGAGGAAAAGTATGAAAAAAGCAAATATATTTAATAAAATTCAGAGCTGTAGAAATCACTTTAACCCTAAATTTTTACACTTTACATTTGAACTTAGCTCTATCCCATCCCATGTCTACAGGATAAAACATAGAGCCAAAGTGTGAAGAAGAAGAGTATATTAGCTACACAAAGAAAGTAAAAAAATATTTGTCTGTTCTCTTCTTCCAAAGGGTAAGGGGAGCTGGATATAGTGGATGTCCTGAATTTCCCAAAAAATGTCATTCTAATGACATTCCCCTAAATGCAACAAGAGAAGCACAGATGTACTTGACTTTACTGCCTAAACATTCATCTGAAATTCCTTAGGTAGTAAACTGAAACATCTTGCATAACACAATACTGTAATTACGTTCACACATTGGAGCATAAATGAGTTGATGTAATCATGTTGCATTTGACACAAAGCTTTACAGTACATAAGAAAGGATAAACAGATTGTTTTATTCACAGTAGCAATAATACCATTGTCTTTAGTTTATGGCTCATAAATGTCATGTGAAGTCTATAATAGTTTTAAAAAGTAGTCCTAAGAATCATTGCCATTCTATTTCTTTTGCTTTTACTGTCACTTGAGGAATTAATCAAAATGCACTAAAATTCATATCTAATTTTAATTTGTCTAAGTTTTATAACTCAGTTTGCAACTTGTAAACAAAATTTTGATAGAAAACAATGGATGCCTATTGCTATTTCCACAATAGCTATTTATCTGAGTTGCTTAAGAAACACTTTAATAAAAACAGCAGTTTAAGAACTATATTAAAATTATGCCCTCTTTTCTCTAAGATGGAAAATGTATTCTCTACTTCACTGGGTGTTATTTTTGAGGATAAGAAAGATTGTCAACCATTTGTTTTCCAGATATTCGGGACAGTGGGGGTCCCAAACCAGTGATGGTGTATATCCATGGTGGCTCATATATGGAAGGTACTGGAAATTTATATGATGGAAGTGTCTTGGCAAGTTATGGCAATGTGATCGTCATCACAGTCAACTATCGACTTGGGGTACTCGGTAAGAAGAATCTCTTTATCATTTTCACGACGAATCCATGAAGTATATGATGGTTTTGTTTTGATTTGTTTTGTTCTGCTTTGCTTTGTTTCACCCATGTTTTTATGCTTGTTGACGTTCTTGAACCCAAATTTTTTATAGTTTCAATGAACTCTATAGGTTGGCTTTATGATGTGAAACTAAAAGGTGATGAAATTATTTATGTTGTCATGGAATGTACTTCCTGGTTTATAAAACTCTGAAAGGCAAAATAGTAGGGCCTTATTGAAGAAGAGTTCGTCTTTGAACAAATATTTCCTTCTTCTGCTTTTCTATTTACAATACTGTAAGATTGCCTGAGGTTTGGTGTGAGCTAAGATGTAAGTTTACATTCTCTTCTGGAGTATGTATATGGACTCGCTTTTGGGAATGATTGTTTGCCATTGTGATGGAGGTTTCTTTGGTTTGTTGTTGTTATTTTGGTTCCATGATAATTAGTAATATTTTTCTGAATGTATTCTGATTGAATTATTTAATTTGAAAAAAGCATACATGGATTTTATAAAGTAACAAAGAATTCAGTTCAATGATGCATACTCTTGCCAAAAGACTGATAAAATAAACACAAAGTGGAGATTTTTAGCTGTGATGAGAGAAATATTATTTATAAAATAACTTAGGTACTCTGAGATAGGCATGTTATCTTATGCAATAATCAGTTTTTAAAAGATAAACTTGCTGGCCGGGCGCGGTGGCTCAAGCCTGTAATCCCAGCACTTTGGGAGGCCGAGACGGCCGGATCACGAGGTCAGGAGATCGAGACCATCCTGGCTAACACGGTGAAACCCCGTCTCTACTAAAAATACAAGAAAATTAGCCGGGCGAGGTGGCGGGCGCCTGTAGTCCCAGCTACTCGGGAGGCTGAGGCAGGAGAATGGCGTGAACCCGGGAGGCGGAGCTTGCAGTGAGCCGAGATCGCGCCACTGCACTCCTGTCTGGGCGACAGAGTGAGACTCCGTCTCAAAAAAAAAAAAAAAAAAAAGATAAACTTGCTATTCTAGTATATGTTTATTTGTTATAATGTTGCCACAATTTGAGGAGTAAAATTACCGTATGATTTAGTAAAACATCTTTATCTGTGATGTACTTAACAGAATTTGCTAAAAGAGCATAATGCATCCACAAAATATTTAAATTTTTATTCTTGATTGTTCTCCAAGTCTTATCCCATACTATACACTTGAAGAAGTATAAATTATAATTTTGTTTCTACACAAAGAAGCACCTCACTCTTTCATTTTATTATCTAAAATATTCTGGAAAAGGATTTTGAATTATATTCCTTTTTATAATAATTGGTAGAATCATATCTTTTATCCATGTTAAGAATCAGAATTTTTTCCTCTTCAGTGTTATCCTAACTCCTATGCAGTCATAATTCTGTGTTTAAGCTTATCACAAAGGTAGAATAGTTTTAAAAGGTAGAATAATTTTTGTGAATCAAGTTTATAGTCTAGAGGAAGGAGACATTTTACCAATGTGAAGGTTAAGTCTCAATCATTTTCTAGTTTGCTTTTTTGAAATTTGGAGTGTGGTGAATGACCATAGATGTGCTGCATCAGTATAGGTATAAAATATTTCTGTAGCATTGATCAAATACACATGTGATCCTCCATAGTGTCTAATCATCCATTGCATCAAACATTCACACGATTTCTGTGGGCTGGGATGAGTGTCTTTCCACCAGTGAAAATTCAGTGTATTAGAAGACGTACAAATGATTGCTCATAATAATTCTTGAATCTTAAATCTTGAATTCTTAAATCTTAATGTTGTCATTTGTTTCCTGTGGAACATTTTAATCGGAAGGAGGGTTTTTAATATTCTAATGCATTGAATTTTAATTGTAGTATTGTTGAGAGCTCAGTTGTTTTTGTTGATTATTATTCTTCTATTTTTCTAATTTTTCAAGTGAAAAATCCTGAGCAGTGACCAGTTTGCCAGATGAAACTTTAAATTGAAATGCTAAATTATGGTAACAGCGTTTTTAAGGACTTGAACATCCAGTTAGTCATATATATTTATTTTATTTAAGAAATGCTTTGGTCACAACTTTTTTTTTTTTTGGCCTCTTTCTGTTACTGGTTTTGATTATATAAAGCAAGATTTCATAAAATAAACTTTGTTGTTATGTTAATATAAACTTTACCCATTCTTTTTCTTTTTATGTATTCAGAACTGATAAGGACTTGACTTTGACCTGATTTTAGTCCTATATTCATGCCCATACCCCATTTTAAATGCCACACTGTGAGGATTAGATTGCGAGGCAATGGATTAACTCGCCAAAATATAAAGAACTCAATCACTTGGTTTAGATAGTAGCAGACAGCAGACAGTGTTGATGTTATCGAAGTATGATTTCCCAGTGTTAAATATTTGTTCTGGCTCTACTGTACCCTAGAATGTAACATTTAGTTGTCTTTTCTCCTTTATTTCTCTTAAACACATTATACACTGATAACAAGCCAAAGGCTGTCCTTGATAGACCTCTTCTCAATGTGACAAAGCATAAACTCTGTGAAACATTGTTTAGGTAGACGTTAAGACATTAGCTCTCGAACAGATGTATTCTGGTCACTTTTTTTGAAAAATATGTCTTGGGTATTGTGAACATGTATTTAAATAAATTAATTCATAAAAGAGAAATTATCAGAACATGTGTTTCAGCATATTTTGCATGAGTGCTGCACCACAGCAAGATCAACAGCTCATGTGACAGAACTGCAACAATAAAGACTGTAGACTTTTGAGGTTAGTGTTGTGAATAATTTGTCTAACAGTAAAAAGGTAAGCCAAGGTTTCTTGGGTGTGGGATCCAAGACTACGGCTGTCTAATTTGCACTTGAGTGATTAAGTAGGAAATAAGATATGATCCCACATCTGAGGAAATCCTGAGCTGTGTTTTCACTGGGGTATTTTGGTGTGAAAGAAATAGATTTGGGGGTCCAATGGACAAAATGGGTAATTATAAGATCCTTGATTCAAGGTGACTGGCTGGAACAATCAGGATGTCTGCAACAGGTAGTGCAATTTGTGTCGATTTGAACTTACCATGTGGAGGTGGTGGGGAGTCTTACAAGTTTTGTTTTTCGCTTTGTTTTTAGTGATGAGTAGAGATGTGCTAATGTTTCAGTTAGAAGATTCATACAGCTATGTAGCTGCCAATTTTTCAGTTTAGAGATTTCATGTTAAAAACTTGTTTATTATAAAGTAGGAATAGAATAGAAGAAAAAAAAAATACCTCCACTGTTCCTCAGAAGAAGCTAGTAACAGGTCAGAATTAGTTCTTCTACCAACACCCTTTAGTGGTTTCCTTTGGAATGGTAACACAGAATATCACTCTTACTGTGTTGTGTATGATTTTCACCCACCCTGGAAATGCTATTCAAAATGATAGGAAAAACTGCCAATACGATTGACAAAGAGGGAAGGGAATGCAGGACTCTGCCTGCTAACCTCATTCCCTAGTTTCATGTTAGAGCTCCCAGAGACCTCCTACTATTTAGCCTCATACTTCTTATACACTGAATATTTAACTTTTCTTTCACTTTTGGCTATACACATTCTTTGTCCTCAGTCAGTTTTGACATAAACTTTCCATATTTGCTTTCTTCAGTATCTATTATTTGATACATTGTTACATAGTCCTTAAATACGTTTAAAATTATTGTTAGTAGGGTATTTTTTTAACATTCTAGTATATGATTTATAATCATCTTAGAAATGTAGGGAGAAATGGCCAGGTGCGGTGGCTCACGCCTGTAATCCCAGCACTCTGGGAGGCCAAGGTGGGTGGATGGCCTGAGGCCAGGAGCTCAAGACCAGCCTGGCCAACATGGTGAAACCTCATCTCTAGCAAAAGTGCAAAAAATTAGCTTGGCACAGTGGTGGGTGCCTGTAATCACAGGCTGAGGCAGGAGAAGCATCACTTGAACCTGGAAGGTGGAGGTTGCTGTGAGCTGAGATTGCGCCATTACACTCCAGCCTAGACGAGAAGAGTGAAACTCAGTCAAAGAAAGAGAGAGAGAGAGAGGAAGAGAGGAAGGGAGGAAGGGAGGAAGGGAGGAAAGGAGGAAGGGAGGAAGGGAGGAAAAGGGAGAAGAGGGGGAGGAAAGAAAGAAAGAAGAACAGAGAAGAAAGAGAGAAAGAGAGAAAGAGAGAAAGAGAGAAAAAGAAGAAAGAAAGAAAGAAAGAAAGAAAGAAAGAAAAAGAAAAAGAAAAGAAAGAAAGAAAAGAAGGAATGAAGGAAGGAAGGAGAGAGAGAAGGAAGGAAGGAAGGAAGAGAGAGAGAGGAGGAGAGAGGGAAGAGAGAGAGAGAAGAAAGAACAGAAAGAAAAACAGAAATGAAAGAAGAAAGAAAAAAGAGAAGAGAAAGAAAAGAAAGAGGAAGAAGAAAGAAGAAGAAAGAAAGAAGAAAGAAGAAAGAAAGAAAGAAGAAAGAAGAGAAGAAAGAAAAGAGAAAGAAAGCAGGAGAAATATTGATGTATTTCGTAAAGGGGGGAAATAATCAAAATTAAATGTTCTGATTATAACTAGGGTAAACATATTCTTATGAACAAGAATTACAGAATATATAAGATAAGAATTGAAAGAGAATATAAAATAAGTCACTATTAGATGAGATGTTGTACACTAAACTTTTTTTAAATAGAAATTATTTAAATGATAATATTGACAAATCTCAAAAATGAAAAAATATGTTAAGTAATTTATCATTAAAATGTTTCAACTACTTATTTAAATTTAGAATAAATCTATAAATTACTTATGGAGTAAAAGAAAAATTTTAATACCCCTGTGAGGATCTTACTTGGGCAAACAAGATTTTAATCTGGTGGAAATTTAATCAGTTACTTTTATCTTGACATAAATATCTTGGAGGCAATTCTGCAATTCATAATTCTAGCCCATGTGATTTATTTTAGAAAAAAAGTGTTAAATATTTTAGAAGTACTGAT